CAAAATACTGTATCATGAAGTACCAAAGTGGCACTGTCACACTGAACAGACTGGAAACAACCATTTCAGCAGTATAATTCATAACATGCAAATTCACAAGACTTTTCCTGAAGACATTTGGATTATTTTTTTTTTTTTTTTTTTTTTTTTTTTTTTTTTTTTAAGATTTTATTTATTTATTATGTATACATTGTTCTGCCTGCATGTATGTCTGCAGGCCAGAAGAGGGCACCAGATCTCATTACAGATGGTTGTGAGCCACCATGTGGTTGCTGGGAATTGAACTCAGGACCTCTGGAAGAGCAGCCAGTGCTCTTAACCTCTGAGCCATCTCTCCAGCCCCCTTTTTTTTTTTGTTTTTTGAGACAGGGTTTCTCTGTGTAGCTTTGCGCCTTTTCCTGGATCTCGCTCTGTAGACCAGGCTGGCCTCGAACTCACAAAGATCCACCTGCCTCTGCCTCCCGAGTGCTGGGATTAAAGGCGTGCGCCACCACCGCCCGGCCGACATTTGGATTATTAAGACTTGGTTGTTGACTTGATGGTGGTTAATCTTGATTATCAGTTTGTTGGGTCTAGAGTCAGGATGGAAACCTGGGTACATCTGAGAGTGAGTTTCCTTTATTAGGCTCACTGAGGTGTGGGTGTGGACTAAGCAGGAGAAAGCTGAGAACCAGGAGGACCCATTGATTCCTGACAGGTACAATGAGACCAACCACCTTGTACTTCTGCTGTTAGCATTTCCAGACACTGTGGACTGTGCCCTCAAACCCGGAGCCAATGAGCCCTTTTTACAGTTGCTTTTGTCTGCATACTGAGAAAAGTAATAAAACTGGTACCAAAAGTAGAGCTATTGCTGTGATAAACCTGACCATGTGGTTCTTAGGCCTTTGGAACTGGTTTGCTTGGGGGTGTAGAAGAGTTTGGAAGCTTGGGGTAGAAAAGCCCTAGAACACGGAAGCAGAGGCTAATGGATCATTCTGGTGGGATTTAGAAGGCTCTAATGCTGAGAGAAGTGAGGATAGTGCAGTCCCATTTAATTATATTTCCAGAACGTGAACAAGGACTACATCAGGAACTGGGCTAAGGGCTATTTGTGTGGTAAATTGACAGAATCTTCTGGGAGTAAAGGACCAACTTGGTGACAGAAATCGTGAGAGAAGGTAACATCTGATGTGTGGCATGGATGCTTCTCTCATCCAGGTCTGCAGTCAGAAAAGAGTGAGACAGAAAGCTGAAAAATGCAGTTTTAGTGAAGGAACTGTTTGTTTTTGTTAAAGATGAGGCAACTTTGAAAGTAGCTATGTTTGTTAAAGAGAGCAGCTGTCATTGTTAAAAGGAAATCGGCACTGAGCGGCTGTCATTGTTAAAAGGAAATCGGCACTATTGAAGAGGAGCCTGGTACTGCTGGGACAGCAGTAAGGTACCCTGAGGGCAAGATTCTACTCACTGAAGTCTAGTGAAAATGCCCATTCGTTAGAAATGAGAAAACACAACATAAATGCCACTGAATGCCCTGCTCCAAACCAAGGCTTAGGGAAGTGTTTCTGCACTGAAGTGTGGTCTAAGAGTCCCAGGCTCTAGCCCTAGGTGGCAGCAGAACTTAGCACCATTGTCTACATGGTTTTACAGGCATGAAAGATTCAAGAATGAGGGAGAAAAGAAACTGGAAGCAGTACCAAGATTGCAGAAAACCGCTGAGGCCAGACAATGTGTGGCAGTGTCTGAATCTGCAGTGAGGCCACTCTAAAGCTGTGAAGGTGAAGGCTAAGCTACAACAAAGCTCCCAGGATGTTAGAGATGTCAGAACCATGACACCATCCGGCATGGAGCAGAGTTGGCCCAAGAGGCTGTGGGTGCTCAGGCAGCAGAGCTAGAGGGGGAGACCTGTCAAAGCCCTTGGGAGCCTAGATGATTCTATCACAGGTCCTAAGTGCTAGACACAGGGAACTGCAGAATTTGGAGTTTGCCCTGCTGGGTTTCAGTCCTGCTTTGCTCTGATGACAAGGCCTGGCTGTCTCCATTCTTCCCTAGAATGGAAGAGTTTATGCTGTGCCACCGTATTGGAAACACACAACTTTTATTTTACAGGATCTCAGCTTCCACCTGACACCCAGAAACCTAGCTCCCAGGGAGTCTCACAAAAATTTCAGAGGAAAGAATAATATTTTATAACAATTTTGATGCATACTTCAAAGGGCTAATTGTAAACATTCACACACACACACACACACACACACACACACACACACACATCCTTAGGTTGCTATGATATGCTTGAAGAAATGGGCCTTGGGGCTGGAGGGATGGCTTAGCAGTGAAGAGCACTGGATACTGTCTTAGTTACTTTTATATTGCTATGAAGAGACACCATGACCAAGGCAACTTATAAAAGAAAGCATTTAATTGGGGTCTTACTTTCAGAGGGTTAGTCCATGACCATCATGGCAGGGAGCATGGCGGTAGGAGAGAGGCGTGATCTAGAGCAGTGGCTGGGAGCTCGCACTCTTGTTTGAAAACATGAGGCAGAGGGAAGAGGAGGAAGAGAGGAGAGAAATGGCCTCAGAGCTCACAACTCCTCCAACAAGGCCACATCCCATAATCCTTCCCAAACAGTTCTACCAACTCAGGACCAAGCATTCAAATGCATGAGCCTTTGGGGACCATTCTCATTTTAACCACCACACACTCTTGCATAGGACCCAAGTTTGGCTCCCAGCACCCACACCAGGCAGCTCACAACTGCTTATAATTCTATTTCCAGGGGATCTGACACCTTTTTTTGGCCACTGTGGGCTCCTGCATATACATGGTACACACAAATTCAAGCAGCATGTGTGCCAAACAATAAACCTTTAGAAATGGGCCATGTAGAAGCTATGTCTTGACCTCGAAGACTGAGAATAGGATCCAGTTCTGTTTTACTGCAGGGATTGACCTGGACCTGTGCTTCGACTATGTTCTTTTCATCACTCCATTTATCTGCAAAATCTCATGCTGTAGCAGGCACATTTAGCTCAGCCACCAGGCGGGAAACATATTTTGGTGATTTTAAAAGTATATCATCAAAAAAAAAAAAAAAACCTCTTTTCTTTGCTCATTCTCTGGGGCATCGTGAAGCAAAAGTAATTTAATAACTGATGTTGTTTTTGTCCTCAGGGTCCTCTCTCCGTCCCTCCCTCCCTCCCCCCATCCCCCTTCCCTCCTTCCCTCCCTCTCTCTCATCTCTAAGTCTGTTTTGGAGTAGACTGGCAGATTTATGGGGTTGTTGAATTACAATTGAATCAACTTTATGCTGTTGGTTTAAATAATCTTGAATCAGATTCCACAGTGTGAACCCCCCAATATGAAACTGGTGGGTTTCATAAGGCTTCTTCATACACCCTTAGTTTTGGTTAACCCACTTAATGTCCTTCTCACCCACCCACTTTGGGAGACAGGGTTTCACTTGGTAGCCTAGGCTGGCCTGCGACTCTGTTATCTAGGCTGGCCTTGAGCTTGCAGTAATCTTTCTGTCTTAGTCTCCAAAGTGCTGGGAATACAAAGTGAGCTATCATGCCTAGGTGGCTGCTTCTTTCCCTGGATGGATCCAACGCAGCCTGCCAACCTGGAAGTTCTGTGCAGGTGCCTGGTGAGAGACAATGCAGAGTCCAGAAGAGGGCTCAGATCTGCTGAAGCGGCAGTCGGTTGGGAGCCAGTGGATGTGGGTGCTGGGATTTGGAAACTACTCCAGTCCTCTGTAAGGGCAGGCACTTCGACTCACCAGTTCCATTTGTTAACACAGGTTCTTCAGATCTTATTCATTAGTAGTTGGGCGTGAAATCGAGTTAACTTGAGATCACCATTAAGAATATTAGAATAAAATATAAAAATATCAATTGGGGTGATGAGCTGGCTCAGCAGGCAAGTGATTGCCGCCAAGCCTGATGACCTTGCACACATGGGACCCTCATGGTGGAGGGAGAGACCAGACTCCAACAGGTTGTCCTCCAACCTCCACATGCACACACATTCACAAACACACACACTAAATAAAACGTAATTAAAAGCATATGAGAGTGTCACATGAATTGTTTTCATTTCCTTTCTGTTGCTATGTTAAAACACCCTGACAAAGCTGCTTTGAGGAAAAGGGTTTATTTTGCTCACACTTCTGGGTTACATTTCATCAACAGAGGAAGCCGAGGAAGCTGAGTCAGCAGGAACTTGAAGCAGCTGGTCACATCCCATCCACAGTCAAGAGCAGAGCATTGGAAGCGTGTGTGCGCGTGTGTGCGTGTGTGTGTGTGGTGTGTGTGCTCAACTGACTCAGTTTTACTCAGTCCACAACTCCAGCCTGTGAAACAGGGCTTCCTACACAGGTGAGGCTTCCTACCTCAGTACAATTAGGAAGGCCCTTCTGAGGCCAACCTGATCTAGACAACACCCTCGCGTAGACTTCTTCCCTGCTGATTCTAGATTACATCAAGTTAAAGTTAATGAGACGGGGCTGGAGAGATGGCTCAGCATTTAAGAACACTGGCTGCTCTTTCAGAGGACCTGGGTTTGATTCCCAGCGCCTACAAGACAGCTCAAAACCACCTGTAACGCCACTTCCAGGCAATCTGACATCTGGCCCCTGCTGTAGCTGGCCCCGGGGACACAGAGGGGGACTATCAGCGGCCAGGTCAGTATCCAGTATTGATCCTTTACTCTGGTCCCTTGAATGAGGGTCTGCTCCTTGTTAATGACCTTCAGTGGTTAAAGGATTTGCCTTCCAAGCCTCCCTTGGGCACTGTGCCCAAAGCAACCTGAGAGGTCCAATAACAGACCTGTGATCCTGAGTTTTCACAGAGGGGAGAGGCAATGTGGGGAATCCTCGGCCGGCCCCGCCCCGTGGGTTGCATCCGCACACCTTAGAGGCCCGATTGGGCTCCTCTATGTCCAGCCCTGGTGCTGAACCCGGCACGGGGCGGGTAGGGGACCCTTTCCTTCCCAGCACCGGGGCACTCGCCCCAGGCGGCTGCGGCTGGCCAGACGTGGGCAGGGCTTTTATTGTGAAAGGGGCCTCCCCCTCCCGCGCTTTCTGGGGATTGGGGAGGCTGGGCCGCGCCTTAGGCTGGGGCTTTGCAAACTCTGAAAAGGTCCCCAGCGGTTGGAGGCGCCTCGCGGCAGCAGGACCCCACAGACCCACGCGCGGAGCAGCCTACTGTGTGTCCTCCCCCGCTCCCCGCCGCGATGTGGCGGCGGGAAAGGTGTGGACCCGAGCCCAGCGCAGCCTGGCAAGTCTGAGCTCCAGGGATGAGACTGCCAGTAGGCTGAGCTGGGGAACCTGCTGGAGTACCGCGCGGGGACATGGTAGGAGTCGTGGGATGGGGCGGTGGGCACTGAGGCAGGCGGCCTTGAAGGCGTGCACGGCCTGCACACGCGGTGTCCCAGGCCACAGTTATCCCTCAAGCTTTCTCATGGGGCCGCTTGACTTTTATTTCTGCCCGGAACTGGAGGTGCCCTTGGAAGAGGGTGGTGATAAAGGATTCGTGAAGGACCAACCCCTCACATCGTAGCTGAATAGCCATCTAAGCAAAACGCTTGCTGACCAGCCCTTAGGGTGGGAGAGAAGATTCCATTGGGCACCTAAGGCAGACCTGATGGGGAGAGTCTTCGGCTTCCTTCTCATCGGTGTGTGAATTCCACAGTGTTCTGTGGCTTAGTGGTGTACTAACGTTTTTTAAAATGCCTTGCATCACCTGTGAGTTAGTCTCACTGCGGAGATTCAATGGTCTCACCTCCCTACCTGCTGGACAGGGGACTGTAGAGCAGTCGTGGGGTGCTGGCAGGTCCGAGGAGTCATTGATACAGTCCTGTGGGCTGGATTCTTCTCCAACCTCACAGACATCGAGAAAGGAAAACAAGAATTTGAAAGCCTGCCCACGTGGCTTTAGCCGAGGTCCTGATGTAACCCTCAGGCAGGCTGGTGAGCTTTGCTTCGGACAGAAAGCCTGCAGCCCAGGGAGGGCAGTGAGTGGGGGAGTGTCCCTGTCGACTCTGTGAACTCCTGAGGGATCCCTTTCTCTCCAGGTTTTGGGGGGCAGATGGGAGATCCCCATAGATGCTTCATGGGAAGCTGACCCACGGGCCAGGAATTCAGGAGAGTCCTTTGTAGGTCAGTGTGGGAGCAGATGTGAGGGCCAGACACGGAGGCCTGAGCAGTGGGGGCTGGGGGCTCACGAGATGCCGAGGCCTGTATTTGGCCTCTCTCCAGGTCTTATGAGCATGAACTCTAAGTCTGAAAAGAGGCATGGCTAGAGGTGTGGGGTATGAACTCAGATTTTACTGCATTCCTGTTTAGGAGCAAGCCTGCCATCCAAAAAGTATGAGCCACAGCCATGTACTCTGAGGGGTGTTAGTGGTCTCTGGTCGTGGACCACTTTTAGGAGTCTGTTCCTCCTTCCATTGTGTGGGTTCTGGGGATTGAACTCAGCATGGTGGTGTCTTTACCCCCCCAGTCATCTCAATGGCCAAAGTTCTGTAAAGTACATTATCCTTCAGAACAAGGCTAAATGATATTTCTCAGTTAGTCTTCTGAACTAGTCTTTTACAAAGCAGAATGGAAACAATTCCAGTAATAATTGAGTATGCTGTTGTTCATGTCCCTGGTGCTGCCTTGCCTGTGGGTTCTGATGCCAGTGCAGTCACCTGGCTGCCTACCTCCTGGCTTCCAGGCAGGCCCAGCTAGCCACCCCTGCTGGAGGCTGGGTGGGCGCCACCTGCAGCTGCTGCAGAATTCAGCCCACTTCCCTGCTGCTGGCCATGGACTTGGGTTTCTCCTAAGTGGCTGCTGGGAGGGCTATGTCACATGCTGTTGACTTGTGGGCAGTTTTTGTTTGGCTTTGGAAGGTGTTTGCTTGCAAAGGGCTGACATCCTCTTCCAGTACCATCCAGAGAATTCAAATCCCCCATCTTGGCTGGGGAAGCAGGTTTGTGGCTTTGTGCTTGGAAGCCAAGATGGGTAGAGGTTTTTCCAGAAATGCCATCAGCCAAGAACTGGCTAACAGCTGTGGAAGGTCTGGGAGGAGGAGGAAAAAGAGATGAGTCTGTGGATTGTAACGGAGAGAGGGGGCAGGGGGATGCCTCAGGCTAGCTCTGTGGATAGCCCTTTCCCTGTGAGATGGCCTGGGAGCAGGCAATGTCCCTGGCAACCTGAGGGTGTGCCATGAGCAGAAGTTCTGGGCTTCGGTACACGCTGCTCTGAGCTGGCTTTCCTCCGAGGTGCGGCCCCTTGGTAAGACAGTGTTGCTTCCCACTGGCAGGACAGTTGAAGGCTGGTGGTCATGTTCACGTGTTCATCCAGGTACAGGTTGAGCTTTGTGCTCGGGCTAAGGAGGTAATGCCAAGAGAAGCCCGACTCCGTCCAGCTCCAGCCTAGGCTCTGTCCCACCATGCTGTGAGGTGAATTCTCATGCTCTAGGCTGAAGGAGATACAAGTTTCCGTCAAGGAATAAAAAGTTGACTTGGTACATCTGAAGTAGCTCAGGAAGCCTCTGTGAGGTGAGTTCGGCAATATCAGAGGGTGAGAATGCAAAACATATGGAATCCACAGCCCCCTGCATCGTTTCTCCAAAGGAAAGGAAGGACTCCAGCCTGGGGCTTATAGGAAAACTTCTCGAAGTCAGAAGGAGAGGAGAGGGCTATGGAGGCTCGGGGTGTGTGTGTGTGTGTGTGTGTGTGTGTGGTCAAGAGCAAGGGGCCGGGTTTCTAAGACGCTCATAAGAGGTGTGCTCTGTGGCAGGCCTTATCAGGAAGGAGGCTGTGTCTATGATGGTCTGTATGGAGCAGGGCATAGCCTCAGGCCTGCTGTCTCCTGGTCTGTACAGTTTCTGGATTTCTCCTTCTGTCTGTCTGTCTGGCTCTCCTTGTAGGATGCAAAGTGCAGTTGATTTTTTAATTTTTTTTTTAATGAATGTAGAGTTGAGGCACAATTCTGACAGAGCTCTTTTAAAGCTTGTTGCTGCTGCTTTTCCCGACTTGATTATCGAACATTTCCCTTTGGAGGCCTGCTGCAGTTCTTCATGCCGCTGCGGCAGGACATACCTAAAAAGCAAGTTGAGGAAGGAGGGTCTACTTTGGCCACAGTTTGAAGGTGCAGTCCATCTGGGCAGGGCAGGCATGGCGGCAGCTGGTCACATCACATGGCATCCACAGTCAGGAAGCAGAGATGAACAGGCGCCCAGCTTGCTTTCTTCTCTGTAGTCAGTCCTGAGCCCCAAGGATGGTGCTCCCCACATTCAGGCAGGTCTTCCCACCTCCATTAAACCTTTCTGAAAAATCTCTCACAGACACCCCAGAGATGTGTCTCTGGGGGATTCCAAATCCAGTCAACTTGATAATGAAGGTGAAGCTTCGTGGGGTTCAGCTGTGCTTTGAAAATCTCTCTCTCTGTTTTTAATCATCTTTCTCTTCTTTAATGATAAGCAATTCCTCCTTGTGTGGAATCTCACATGTTTCTGGGTCTCTTTGGAGTCTCTGGGCAGCAATTCCCTGGAGAGTAGTGGCAGAGGGGGGGGGGCTGCCTGCCTCACAGCAGGCTGTTCTGAAGCAGAGGTGGGCTGCAAAGGCTGGAGTGGGCTGAAGCTGTGTGAGGCTGTGGATGGGTCTTCTTGAATTCTGGGACCAGTGGGAGCGGAGTCTGAGAGTCAGAGGCTGGGATGCTGTGCAGGGTCATGTGGGTACCCAGCCTATGCTGGGGGAGGGGAGGTGGGACACACTCTTATTCCAGGACAGAATAGCTCTGTTCCCCACACAAAGGTTCAGTGTGTGCTTCTTGGGGACCTGGACCTTGCTCAGGCACTGGCCACCACAGGGCTTCTTCATGGATACCACAGGAGCGTCCTTTGGCCTCTGCACAGCAGACTTCCTGCAGGCATTGGTCCAATTGGCCCCAATGGTCAGCCACCCCGATTTCTCCCCAGATCCTACTGCAGCTACAAAGATGCTATTGTGTTCTTTCTTTCAGAAATACCAGTTAAAATCATTCCCCTCCCCAGGAGCAGGTATGACTGGCTAAGTGCAGTGATGCCCTGCCCAGGAGCTCCTTCATCATATGCATGTCCTTTGTGGCAGTGGTCCAGGGTGACGGGTTTAGACTTTCACGATACCTTCCTTGGTTTTAAAGCATGAAGGGCTCAGAAGGTGGGTTCTGGATTCAACTCTGCCCAGCACCTGGGTTTGGCCTCTGTGACTGCCTTGTCACGGGTCTTTCAGGGCACCAAGCCGAGTAAGCATTGGGAATCCTACGATTTAAGATCCCAGGAAGGAGGGGATCGGAGTTGAGACAATTGCTTTGATACCAGTCCTGTAGTCGTTCCCCATAATGGTAAACTAGACAAGATGAACTCAAAGCAGCAGAGGAGGCACTTAGTGTAGCAGGAACCTTAAAAGTCTTATTAATAAAAACAAACCCAGAGCCAGGTACTGGGGTGAACGCTGAAAGATCAGAGAAACAGAACAAGCCACAGCTAACCTCGCCTCGTCAATTCCTCAGCTGATCTCGTTTCCTCAATCTGGAAGCCTCTGAGTCCTCATCCAAATGGATTTCAGCTGAACTGCTGCTCAAAAGCCTAAAAGCTTAACAGACTCTAGTTCCTGGTCCTCACGCCTTATCTACCTTTCTGCTTCCTGTCATCACTCCCTGGGATTAAAGGTGTGAGTCACCATGCCTGGCTGTTTCCAGTGTGACTTTGAACTCACGGAGATCCGGATGGATCTCTGCCTCCAGAAGGCTAGGATTAAAGGTGTGAGTGCCACCATTTTCTGGCCTCTGTATCTAGTGTCTGTTCTGTTCTCTGACCCCAGATAAGTTTATTAGGGTGCACAAATATTGGGGGACACAATACCACCACAACTTAGTTCAAGGATTCTTGACCTGGGGCCCAGGCATAGAATTCAAGGAGTCCTAAGCTTGGTGAAACCTGTTAACCACTTGGTTTTTATAGACCTCTAGCTAAATCTAGCATTTCTTTGATAATGAATGTGGCCACCTATGGCTTGATCACTAAGAGAAATCACTAACATTTTCTATCAGGAGAGTGGAAACACTGTGAAGTACTGTCTGCTCATATCAGGAGAGTGGGAACACTGTGAAGTACTGTCTGCTCATATCAGGAGAGTGGGAACATACTGTGAAGTACTGTCTGCTCATATCAGGAGAGTGGAAACACTGTGAAGTACTGTCTGCTCATATCAGGAGAGTGGGAACACTGTGAAGTGCTGTCTGCTCATACCAGGAGAGTGGGAACACTGAAATACTGTCTGCTCATATCAGGAGAGTGGGAACATACTGTGAAGTGCTGTCTGCTCAT